TTTTTCCCACACATGCTTTTTTGAAAGGCAGTGCATCACCATTGGGTTTTCCAATGTGTATCCTGTGGTTCCCCTCCTGCATGCACGGTCCTTTCCATCCTGGTGTCCTGCAGAGCAAGTTGGAGGTCCATGTCTGGCAATGGCCACAGCTTGGTGAAAAACAAGAAACCACATTCACTCTTGCAGCATCTGAAGAGAAACATGTTTGAGCATTCACTGATTAATTGGCTTTAAGGACCATCCTGCCACGGTACAAGGTAAATTTCACACGGACAAAACGACAGGGACTGCCATTCTCCTTCTGTATCGCACATCAGATGGTTATTATGAACTGCACAGTAGAGTTTGGAGAATTAGCAGTTTCCCTAGATTTGTGTGGGTAAGTGCCACATCTGCCAGGTACAAGGGAACTACCCAGATTCAATGCCCTTGATGTATGGATGTAGGAATAGAAGAGTTAGGTTGTGTTGTCCCTTAAGGTCTGGTGTGAACTGTGTGTAGATACTGTTTTATCAAAATAAGATGTTTAGATGTTGAAGTAGCTTCTCTAGGCTCTCTCTCACTGGAACGGAGATTAAAAAATAGGTAACACGTAAGCTATCATCGCCACGTTAGCAATAACTATTATTTATTTCAATAACTGTTAATGAAGATAAGGATGAGATCCTTTTGGAGAAAGGGAAAGTATCTAACACTACTGAGGGAGATGGCCAGTAGCCCTTATTTTCCAAACTAGCCATCAATTTATTTAATGTCTCTTTTTCATTTAACTGGAGCTGGTGTTGCACTGCATTGTTGAAAGGCTTCCCTGGGGTGGCTAGGTTCTGGAGAGCTCTGCTGGAGCACAAGGCTGATACAGCAGTTTTGGCATCCATTCTCTACCTCAGTTGCTCATGCACTTGTTGAACGTGGTTATCTCAAAATATATATCTTGTCCTATGTAAATAAACACACACCAGTGAGCTCGAACCATTTTGCTTAGTCCAAAGAGTGTTCACAGTGAAGCATCCTCACCTGAAGCTCAAGCCTTTTCTTGAGAAATCTGGGGGCTGTGTTACATCTAGACAAGTCCTTGAGGGGAAAAAAATCAGCGTGGTATAGACAAAAAGCAGGCTGCAAGGCAAAGTGGAAGTGTTTCCTCATCCCTCAGCTGTGCGCAAGGAGAGGCCGAGTTGTGGCGGGGGCAAAGACAAACCACAGGGAGCTCTGTCAGCTCCTCCACGGCTCTGTCCCTGCAGGGACGCTCCAAAAGCACCCACAACATTAAGTACCTGTGGCAGTAAAACAAGAAGAGATGCTGTACTAAAATACATTTGCTGGACATCTTTGCACCTCTCCCAAGTATTGCCATGGCCACCTCTGCCTGTACCAGGAGCAGCCTAAAGATGGTGGTAGAAAATCAAAGATCAAGTTTTGCATGTTCATTCTGAAGAGTTTGTACTCAGATTAGCCAGCTTGGTGCTGAAATATTATCTTTGACAAATCAACTGCAGTGACCCCATAAATCACCTTTCAGGTCTTTATAGTTACTCATTTCACACCAATTGACAAGACAGTGAATTGACTACGGGTTTACCAGTGGTACTTCTGCAGCTGTGATGGTCTCAGGACACAGTCAAGAGTTAATATCTCTTACTTCCAACCGAGATAGGTGACATTAAACAGACACACTTGGGGGCACTCTGCCTTTATTGTAAATCTATTTTGCACTGTCTTTTCTTTGCCTTCTGCTTCCTTTATTATCTGGGTATCTTCAGGAATCCTTCAACTCAGGCAGCAAAAGAAGAGAAAAAAATAACTCACATCAAGATTAAAAAAATAACAGAAAATTTTAAGCACTTGTATTCAGACCTGGTGTCCCCCCATCCCCACAAAAAATATAATCAAAAATATTATCTCCTCATCTTCTACTTCCTCTTTACCATAATAGCTGCTGTATGGGGATACAGAACTCAGTCAACAGGCAAGTAATTTTCTCCTGGAAAGAAACAGTTCTCTTTTTGAACTGTTTTTTATTTGCTTTAAAGTTTAGCAGTATGATATTCATATATTTATAGATTAATACAATGGAAACAGGAAATTATTCACTTGATCACAGGCTTGGCTTACTTTTAATTAGTCTGATAAATGAATGATGGCAAGTAACTAATGTTATTGGAGATTTCAATGGAATTTTCCCTATATTGGAGATTTCAATGGAATATTCCCTACATTCATGAGGCAGCTTGTTCCTAAACCTTTCTTACCTAGACACAGCCTTATCAGCATCCTCAAATGATCTCTTATGGCCAATTTGAAACAGAAATCATTGACTTTTTTAAATTGTTCCTGGGTGCTGACTAGAAAACTCGTGTCTAAATGACCAGTGTTGGATCAAATCAAGTTCCACAGTCCCCAGTAGCTTCCATACCTGTCTCCTCTTCAATCCTAAATATGAAACTAAAAATAGCAAAATAATGAGTTTTTCTTTGAAAAATGTCAGTAGGATACAAAACAAGAATAAAGAATGGTATGTTCTGAGACATCAGTACATCATGTCTTCCAGGCTAATGTTTAGATTTCTTTTATTTCACACTGTTAACATTTTTCATGTTTATTTTTTTAACCTTTTTTTTGTAAATAAAGCAACTTTGGCACACCCAAAGCATACAGTAAAAAAATACCCTAAATCCTATTTCTTGACAGTTGTCCCCAGACTGATTCTAGCAGCACCCATGAGCAGTAGGGGTGCATGTTTGCATCAGTATTTTTCTTGGAATTGCTCAGCAAATATAAGCCAAGGCTGAAGCCTGCACTGGCAGGGAGATTTATAGAGCAGAATACCAGGGCAATTCCCATGAACTACAGCAAGACCACACAAGAAGAAAAACTAAGTAAGACCTAGGGATCTTCTGGGGACTAAAAGCTAACAAACTGATGTTTGCTCCTCTGGCTGGGGCATAGAGCAGTGAGGAAGAGGAGCTCTTCTTTAAAAACACAGCTTTTTAGCCAAAGTACCTGCTTTAGGAAACAGCTTTGAGACGAGACCTGTGAATAAGGTCACGAGTGAAGAGCTGGGACTGCTGAATCCCCAGTGACCCTCCTTATGGGCCCGGTCACCCCACTCGTCCCTGATGAAACCTCACTGCCTGAATTTTTCTTGGTAGAAGGACTGTCCCCATATGAACTGACTGTTGTTCCCAGCACTCGGTCTTCTCCCTGGCCTCTCCAAATAGTGTTTGGCTGTATTCCCAAATAAAAGCAAAATCTTTCCTGCTTAAGGGATGCCAACAGAGGAAGGACATCAGAAGGAAAATGCTGCATTGGTTCTAAGGACGTACAGTGTCTGCACACCTTGAAGGAAGAAGACAAGAAAGCGAAGGAGTGCCATGGTGCAGAGATGCTGTGATGCTGCTGTGAGTTGGCAGCCACCTCCTTGCCACTCCCTGGCAGGGACATACCCAGCCTGAGGAAATGCAGCTGGAGGGCAACGGGTGCAGACCCAGCCCAGGCTGGCCTCACGTGCAGGAGGCACAGCCTCATGCTCTGCTCCACGTGACTCATTCAGACAGACAGGGATAGACCTTTCCCCAAAGAGATGAGACAAAAAGCAATTTTCAAGCACCTCCAAGAAGCTTAGCTTTGGTCTTGCTAAGCCAAAAATGCCCTTGCTACTTTCAACTCACTGCCATAGGCAAGACAAACAAGGAATGAGGACCATGTTGGCAGGCTATGAGGTGTGGAGAGTGTTCCCAAAAATAAAAGAAGGGGACAGCTTGGGACTGCTGTAGCTCCTTTTGTATTCCAGTACCTGACCTCCTTCCTCTGCCCTGGGACAGGACCTGCCGCCTGTTCCTTGACCATCCCAGGAACAGGGCTGCTGGGAATTGACCAGGCTGCGATCCAGAGAAGTGCCTGGATGCCCCCTCTTGGGAAACCAATTTGGAAGCAGGATGTCCAGTGGCACGCAACGCTGCTCAGTAACGAGAAAGCACGAGAAGAACAGCTGGCAGCCTGGCTTTCCCAAGCAACCACGGCTTCTGCAGGGAGCTAGGCTGAGTTTTGGCAGCCCAGTAAAAATCCAGCTGTTGCTTTGCTTTGCTGTGGCATCCAGATGCAGAGCTGACCCTCCTTCCTTTCTGTGCAGGAAGGGAAGAACAGCCTGGAAAATCCTCCAGCCCTCAGGCAACACTTCACTTCTCATAGGCAAACATGCTCTTTACCTCACTGCTATCTTAAGTAAATATTTCCCCAAAAATGTTGCCAGCTCTCTCGTCTGATGCCATTAATTGGTTTCAATTAAATCAGAGGACTGTTTGTGCTCTAGAGAAAACACTGCCTGCAGATCAGCCCCTCAAACCCCTGTGGTTGCTACGGAAATACAACCCAGATCAGCTCAGCGCCTCTTCCAGCTGGTAAAAGTTGTGCAGGCCATATAGGTCTTGCCATAAAGATGGAGAAAAACAGTGTAGGGTGTTTCTTGCTGGTTAATTGGTGTCCCCAGGTAAATCCAGCCAGAACTGCAGAGTTTCAATTGGTGATGGAAAAATGCTAAAAGACAGATGTCAGCAGTTTGATCATGGTCTAAAGCTCTGAAAGGCCATATCTTGACTGCTGATTCAAGTCAAATACCACATCACTGCTCTCTGCACGTGGAGATATGTAGCCAAGTTAGTGTCAGTCATTCAGATGCAGGGTCCCAGCATTTATATTTCTCAAGAAAAAGATGTGTTGGATATAAAATGAGGGCCTGGGGTAGCAGCCAGTGTAATCAGCACAGCCTTTGCCCAGATCAGGAGAGCACTCTGCAAAACCAAGCTCCCCACTTGAGTGAAAAGGGCACATTGCAGGATTTGCATGTGCCCCTCTGCTCAGCTCACCAGGCTCTCATAGATCTTTGTTTCCATGACTCGCCGGCCCCTCCTCTGGCTCCGAGCATTTGAAGCTGAGCTCTTTGGCCAAACAGTCCTTGCTGAAATGTCAATAATACACTACTGGGACACTGGCTCGCAGGGTTCATCATGGTTTCCAGGCAGCGCATGGCTTGCTTTCTCTGCTCTCTGCTACTGATTCCTCTTCCTCTGGATGCAGGTAGGTTGTTGGATATGGCTGTAATTATGTATACTGGCAATAGACCTCTCACCTGTTACTGAAACATAGTTTTCATTGCAAGTTGTGAGCACAGTTGCATGTTTGTCCTGCCTCTGGTTGTGCCTGTGAGTTGTTCTAAGGCTCTTGTTTGCTTTCAGTGACGGCATCCACGCACTTATTTTGCCAACTAAGGAAAAGCACCTCTAGACTGCTAAATGAAGCTATTATCTCACTGCACAGATGGCAGGCAAACCATCAGCTGTCTATCCACTATGTGAAGCAAAGGAACTTGGTTTCATTGTTATTTCATATTGAACTGTGGTATTTTTCAAAGCAAACAATCTATAGTCTGTTGTTCAGCTGATGAGAATTGCAAGAGGTGAGGATCCACCCTGTCTCAGCAGCAGCAGAAGGCAGTGAGGTAGCAGCTCTTCAGTGACTCCAGTATGTGTCTGAAAATCATCTCCCAAATTAATAATGCGGTGCTTTCAGGTTCCCAGTTAGGCATTGACTAGGTCTTCCACACTGCAGTGAACAAAGCTGGAAAATTACATAGGAAAGTTGAAAGCCCTCCAATGTAAATAAGTGGAGTAATGCCAAATAAAAGCAGGAGGATGTCCCCAGCCACACTTCTCTGTCAGAGTCTGTGCCTGTGCACTGACACCTGAGTCAGTGCATGTGTAAGGTTAATTAAAAGCCTTTAAAGAAAGTCATGTTAAATGCATACAGCCTGACTTTGAAATCATGGCAGAAAGATCTACCTGATGTTCCTACAACGTGCAAATGTTTATGGAGCACCCTGGGATAAATTCAATGCACACCACATAATATTTTATTCCTTCAAGTGACTGTGAAATATAGGGAAAATGACCACCATTTTGCATCTAATTCAGCAAATGTTCTAATTAGGCACAGATGTTTAGAGACACATCACCAGACTGGAATAAACAGGATTTATGTGAGAGTGTGTGTGTGTGTGTGTGTTGGTGAGGACTCACAAATCTTGTCCTTCAGCAACCTGAGGAGCAGGTCAGCGTGCCATCAGCTCTTTCAGTGCACACTTCTGTCAGCTGGAAGTTGATGTAGCTCTACAGTGTGAGCACTGCTCACGTCTGCTACTGAACCTGTGTACCCAATGTCTTCCCAAAGCATGGTAGAGACTCACAGGGAGAAGATCCCTGTGGCTGTGTGCTGGCAGCAGCTAGGAGCCATACACAGGCTCTACTGGGAAATGTAAACAGCATTGTCCAGCCTTCCTATGTACATTAACAGAGCCTTCTTTACAGAAGAAAATTAAAGATAACTATATTAAAATAATTGTTTTAAAATTGTAGTCTGCTAGTGGTGGGTTAAGTTCCCTCTGCAGATCCAAAGAGTGAAGGGGTGTGAGATAACACAGTGAGGAAGGGAGCGCTGAGGAGTCAGAGGTGTCTGTGGTCAACCTGTCACCAAGGGACTTACTGTAGGGAGTACAGGAAAATCAGATGTCGCCATGTATATCAGTGCTAGATAAAGCAATTCAGGCTTTCCAGCTGCTAGAATGGAAAGAAACTGAGCTGTACATGTTGAGACTGACTATATGATGTGCGATGGTACCTTAGGAGCGGCTGATGTACGCCGGTGGTGTAACACACCACCTTCTCCTGAGCTCTGGGCTCTGTAACCACGAGCTGCCACTTCACCTGGGAAGCAGGGCAGAGAAATCTGGTTCGTTTACATTTGCCCATTTCTTTTCTAAAGCATCTCAGAAAAAAACCCAGGAGACAGGAAATCTCCCTTCCAGGGGCAATCATCACTCCCAGCCTCTCTGTCTAGAGGGCGCAGCTTTATGACAGACAAAACGTGCCACTGTTTTTTCAGTCTTTCTAAAGCAGGAAGAGGCGAGCAGCATTTTGCAAAGGCAGACACGAGCCAACAGCTTCTTTGAAGAGATAAAACTGGGGTCACTGGAGCGAGAATGCATGGAAGAACAGTGCTCCTTTGAGGAGGCGAGAGAGATTTACCATGACGATGAAAGGACAGTAAGTAGCACGGGACTGGGTGAGTGCTTACTGGCAGATGGACTCCCCCTGTTCAAGGATGTGCTTGGACACTTTAAACCACAATGGCAAAAAAAATAGGCACTTTATGTCCTGCAATTCGCATGTTTCTCTTGTATTTATTGGGGGATGTGCAGCAGGAGGGAGTTGCAGGAGGGCACACTGCAGGCAGTGCCCATCTGGAGGATGGTGGGAAAGTGGATGCACTCTAAGTCGTCTTCCCTACCCCTCAGTAATTCCCGGTCTGACAACACCTTAAATTATTGTATTGTGCAGCATCTGCTTCAGCCAATCCTACCTCAGCTATACAGAGGTTATTGATGGATAACCTAGTTGTGTGTGTTACACAGTGCCCTTCTCTACTGGTATAGAAAAACAATGTAGAATGTAGGAAATAACATAGAATATTTTATGGGTATCATCACCTTTCACAAATTATAAAGGCAAAGAGGCATCACCAAGGCTGCCTGTAACCCCTCTTGTACTACAAGGGCTGTAGGACTCAACCTGAGTCAATTTTAATTTAATTAAATCTCGCATCTTTTTCTTCCAGAAAGAGTTCTGGCACATCTATTCCGGTACGATCGGGATGTTCTAGCAGCTGTGAAAATGCTCCTGGTCCCACAGCTCTTCACATGAGCCCAACTGACGCTGAATGTTTTTACAGACCCTAACCAGTGCGACTCCAACCCCTGTCAGAATGGCGGGAGTTGTGACGACCAGTTTCAGGATTACGTGTGCCGCTGTCCTGCCGAATATGAGGGCAAAAGCTGTGAAAAAGGTCAGCTCTGGCATAGCTTAACGAAATAAAACCTTCATTATTAATTCAGATGCAAAGCATTGAGAGAAACAGTAACAATCATGATCATTCTGCAACATTCTAGCAGCGACAGCTTCTGTTCACACAGCCTGCGGTGTCGTGTGATGGATCTGACCAGCTGGCAGTCAGGCACTGCACCAAGATAATTATTACCCTGTGATGACTTTATAAAAAAAAAAAAAAGCCTTTTTTGCATGGTCTGAGAGAAAAGGAGGATTTTTTTGCCTACCTAAGTGCAGAAGTTACTTTGACTTAGAAGCTCAGTGCAGTACGTGAATGAGAACTGTGCTGCTTATGCATTGTACAAAGCCCGAGGGGACAGATCCAGCAGTTAATGAAGTTTACCCATTGATTTCAGTGGGCACTGCATACTGAGTGTTACACTTACACCCTCAGAGTGTGCTGAGCCCAAACAAGGACAAGGCACTCGTCAGGTCTAACCTATTCTTATTACCATTCATCATCATTATGACTATTATTACTATTACTGATATTAATATTGATATTAATATTGATAATATTAATATTATTTCAGTTTGGTTTATTTTATTTATTAAATTGTTTTTATCTCAACCAATGAGTTCTTTCACTTCTTGTCTCCCAATTCTCTACCTCACCCCACCAGGGCAGGGAGGGGAGTGAGTGAGCGGCTACATGGTGTTTAGCTGCTAGCCGGGCTAAACCACAACAACTGCTATGCTTCCCTGTCAACATTTCAAGTTGCCATTGACTCACGGTAAGCACCAAAATCCACATTTGGAAACCTAAATACTCTTTCTCTGACTTCAGCTGTGGCTGACAAACTGAAGTGCATTTACGACAACGGTGGCTGTGAACAGTACTGTACTGACAAGCAGTCTGAAAAACGGGTGTGCTTCTGCGCAGACGATTACACTTTAGCAAGTGATGGCGTGTCCTGCATTCCCCAAGGTAAGACACCACTAGTCCAAAGCGAAGTCTAAGCCAGCTCTTGAAGAAAGGTTTTCACGCCCACATCAGGAGGTGCAAGGTATAACCCTTAGTCACCAGCTTCCCACCTCTTCTCCAAGGGCAGAGTCCAGAGCAGTAAGTCTGGACTTCTGGTGGAAGTTAGACACCCCAGAAAAGCTGTCAGAAAAGCATGCACGCTGAGCAGGGAGCCTTTTGGGACCCTCCTTCCTGGGCCCAGAGGTCCACTCCCCTGGGACACAGGAAATTCAAGTTTGAACATCCCAGCTGCTAGGACTGAGGAGGGAGCTGAGCCCCTGTCTCCCCTTTGGGGAGCGCCCTTGCCACCAGTCTAGCAGAGAAGAACTGAGCGGTGGAGACAAGCCCATGGCCAGCTGGTCTAACTAAAGCAGAGCAGCAGATTGTCAGGGATTTGTGGGTGGAGCTGCGAGGTTTTCTGGTGAGTGGAGGAGCTCTGGACTTCAAAAGTGCTTTTCTTGTTTTAGCTTACACTCATGGTGGGAAAATATTTTGGGGCAGCATTGTTTTACTCTTGGATCTCGAATCTGAAATTGTGACTTGGATTTTATTACCATATTTATTTCAATACAGGAATCAAGAGAGGAAGAGACCCATTAAAATTAGAGAAAACCAGTTATTATTTTTTTTTCTCTCTTTTTTTTTCCTATTTGATAGGACCAATATGCTTTAGGTATTCCTCTAGACACTATGGGTAGATACTTCTCACACCCATCTGACAAGGTAAATTTCAACTGGGAGTAGGATACCGCAGGTTAATTATTTTTCCAATACATAAGCTGGCACCTGACTTTACTGCTGATGACTACTTCAATTACCTTAAGAGAGGGCAGAAAGACCCCTGGGGATATGAACATAACAGACAGAGCCGCAGGGAGCGTGCAAAGTAATTCTGAGGGGTAAGGCCCCCCCTACACACACCAGCATGGAGCACTCATGCAGGGAACTGATAATGACAACACAGCTCTCAACAGCAGCAGTTTCATTAGAAAACAATGTCCAGCAACATGCTTATCCCTTATGAGCAGATTCTGCAATAGCACATGATGGGGAAGCTGCTTTTGCTAAAAGCTGAGAACAACTAATTCAGTATTCCCCACAGGCTCTTCAGCATGTCTTCCCCTGCGAGGAAGATGTGTTTGTTGCTGCTTGCTTCCTGGGGACCAAAATACCTATAGCTCTTACCGTGTGTTTGTTGCAAGCAGACAGAACTGTGTGATTGCCGGACTGCCAGTCCCTTCACCGTCCTGCTGTCAGCTCTCACAAAGTCCCTTTCAAACTCCCCAGACTTGTGTTGCCCCGCATACAGCATTAGCAGGTTTAGGTTTGTCTCACATCTATGCTGACTTTCCTGCAGCTGCCACCAAAGAGTTTCTCCATGCCTTGCCTGTTCCTGTAAAAGCTTGATGCTGTCTTTGCATCAGGTGAAGTAATTGGCACGTTCAGAATATTGCAGATCCATGGGGATGTCAGATTCAACTCAGCATAGACTGTAGGGTCCTGGATCCCAAAACAAGCACTCCTCCTCACAGCGTTATGGCAGAGTGACTGTTGCATGTAAGGGATGGTGTGGTCAGTTACAGCACAGCCACATGGCACACAAAAAAACCCAAAGGATGACCCTCTTCTTCTTGTAAGGAAAACTCCGCTGGGTGAAGGATGTGCGGAAAACACCAAGGCTTCCTCTGCACTGCAGCTCTGTTGCAGGGTCAGTCCTCACTATTTGATTCTTTTATTGCCAATTTTCACATGCCTGCTCAGATGTGCAGTCCAGAAGAATCAAGGGTGCTCTGGACCCATAAAAACCAGGTACAGCTTGCTGGGAGACATAGTGTCTGCTCTTAGGAGAGCTTCAGGTCCACCCAAAGAAGGGATAGCAAGCTGCATGTCCCATGCTTTAGTCTGTGTCGCACCACAACGTGGATGCTATGCACTTAGTACAACTGAGTTAATGTCAGAAGGGTCACTGAAGATACATAGACTAGAAAGCTTGACAGAGTCACTTCTGCTTCTCCAGCCTGCAGCCTACCTCATTGTGCTGACATATATCTTAAGCAGGTGTAGTGCTTGCAAACTCCTGCGGTAGGTCAATGATACTGTCTGAGCCTGCACTGTGTTTGCAAAAGCATTGCTGGCTGTTTCCAAACAAAAAGACTACTTACCTGCTGTGTTGCTTTAAATTACTTCCAAGAACCCACAACCCCAGACTAGAAACCACTTTTTCACCTAACATAACTTCACTGAAGACCTTACGCATTTTGCTGTGAATTTAGTGCAATAAAATCACACCTGCTGCCCTTTATTTGTTGGGTTTTTTTTTTCTTCTTTTTTTTCTTTTCAGTGAAATACCCATGTGGAAAAATACCAGTGCTGGCAAAAAAAAATGCAACTGCACGGGGGAGAATAGTAGGTGGTTTAATCTGTCCTCCAGGTGAATGTCCATGGCAAGTGAGTCTTCAGAAATCTTTCACTGACTTTTTCTTTTCCTTATGAAACCACTATCTTAAATTAATTGTTTAAAATCTATTATGTTAAAAATCAATTAGAAGTGCCAGGTCTGGGCAAGCAAATTCTGTCTTCATCTGTAGCCAGCAGATCCGCCTGTTTCAATCATAAGAGTGAAGTGGTAACACAACCTCCTCTATCTTCTGCCTCTTGGTCATTAACCTTACTGCCAGCAAGAATTTTATCTGCCTCTCACTAGGCTATGCTCTTGGCCATAATAGGCAGGGTCCATACTACAAGATGGATAAAACATCCATGGAAAGACTCCCCCCCACCCTAAATTCTCCAGACAATCAGCATTGCATTCTCAGACACAGTGACCGAAATACACTGCGGTGTAACTCCTGACTACTGAGATTCAGGTCAAGTGTACACTTAATGTAAGACATAAATTTGTTTTATGTTGTCAGGCCCTTATAATCCAGAATCAGAAAGAGAAGTGTGGTGGTTCCCTGCTTTCCCCAGAGTGGGTGGTCACTGCAGCTCACTGTTTGGAGTATATTCATCCTAAAGAGCTTCGGGTGAGACTGGGTATGTATCTTCCCCTTCTCATGTTATCAAGCTGTGGTTGTGGTGACAGCTTCTCATCCTGACAAATCAGAGTAAAAGAGAAAATATGCAGGCTTTGTTAGTGTAAGGGAATTGTCCTTAAGAGGTGTCAGACCAGAAACTGCCTATCTCCTCAAACTTCTGAAGGATCAAGGAGGTGCATGACGTGACCTGCAATTAATAACTTTTCCAGGTGAACATGCAATAAATCGTGATGAGAAAACTGAGCAAGAAAGTGGAGTTGCCAGTATAATCGTTCATGAAGGATACATGAATGGGCAAGTCAATCACGATATTGCCCTCCTGAGGCTGGAAACACCTGTGAATCTCACCGATTACGTGGTGCCGATATGTTTGCCTGAAAGGCGGTTTGCAGTGTATGAACTGTCCTCCATCAAGTTCTCCACAGTGAGCGGATGGGGACGGCTACTATATGGAGGTGCCACCTCTTCTGTTCTGATGAAAGTTGATTTGCCACGTGTAAAGACACAAGAATGTGAAAAGGAGACTGATTTAAACATTACAGAGAATATGTTCTGTGCAGGAGACCTGACTGGCGTTAAAGACTCCTGCAAGGGAGACAGTGGTGGGCCTCATGCTACCAAATACAAGAACACTTGGTTTCTGACTGGGATTGTCAGCTGGGGAAAGGGCTGTGCTGTTGAAGGCAGCTATGGGGTTTACACAAGGGTGTCAAAATACATCGACTGGTTGAAGAAGCACATGGATTAATGATATTGAGCATTTCCAGATTGTATTGCTGCCCCTCAGTCCCTCTGTGCCATTTTCCTATTGAAGCTTCCCTTCATTATCTTAGACACGTGATATGTGTGATACCCATACCACTATTACTGATTTGAAATGAGCCTAATGCCTACTTGAATATATAAAATAACTTTCCCATCGGTATTGTTTGTAAACTTGCATGTCTTGTCAAGCGGGCACAGAATGGCCATAACGAACTGGACTCAGTCTCTCTCATTCTGCATCCATTTCTCAGCTAGATGCTGAGAAAAAAAAGACTGTCACAACATCTCAAGCACACCACGATTCTTCCTCTGGCTACACCCTCAACTTCTGGTAATCAGTGATGTGCAGACTTCCTGAGCCAGAAGTTGCACTAGGTTGAACAGTCATGAATGAACCTGTTGTCCACAAATGTGTGCAATCTCTTTTGAACACATTTATGCCTCTGGCTTTCACAACTTCCTATGCTGATGGGTCCTGCAATATAATGATGCAACAGCAGAAGAAATAGAAAACATGTTTCTTTTAGCTTATGTTAAAGTAGCTTTCTCCTACAGTTCCAGAGGCAACAGGTAGATTTGGGGGGCAGGAACTGTAGGTAGTCTCCAGGACAAGAAAGCTGGAAAAAGATTAATTCCACATTTACAAGTCTGCTAAGAAACCTTGATTTTAGTCTTCTTACACCAAGAATTATTGCAGTAAGGCAACTAAGTGTAATATTTAGCCCTATACTTATGAGTGATGAAGAATACCACTGATTTAATTTATATTTGCCTTGGTACTATGCTCGTCAACACAGAAGACGACAAATGAAAGGGAATGTTTGTTTAATTTGTTGTACAGCATAACCTAAATTGTGCTCTCTGTCCTGCGATCTAAAACCAGAACAGGATAATTGTCTGGCCATCTGCAAAACACTGGCCATTGACCATTTTCTAAAGCCTTAATGCATAAATGGTAGAACCTGAAGAGCTCTGAAAACACCATCAGCTATACCATTAAAAATGTATCTTCTAAGCTAAGCATGAAAACAGTGAAAAGGTGAAGGAGATGCTAGATAAAACTGCCCAGGTGATTAGAAGACAGTTTAAAAGTACCTTATGCAAAACTAAAGACTTTGAATTCATTCCAATCATGCTGAATATCAGCTCAATCACAAAAGCTCACTAGCAAGTAGGACACTTTGCAATTGACCATACTCTATTATTAGAGGAAACACTGATATTATATGGTAAATACACTGTGCAACACTGAACATCCTATAACCTGCTTTGCTGACACAGAAGAACAGTACAGTATTTATTTAAGTAGTGAACTGAATTGGGAAAAGCAGCAAATTCTAGAGGCCTGGGAAACAAGAGTTCTTACAACATGAAAACATAGCCCGGAGATTCTTATTACTCCTAAAAGGAAAGCAGATATGCCAGCGGAATATATTCCTAGGGAGAAAGGAGACTAGGAGCAACGATGAGCAAAAAAACTCATTTTAACTGTAATGAGGCACTCAGCATTGCAAAATCATCCCTCCAGACTCCTCAGGCTAGAATAGTTTGGGCTTTTCCATGCTCCACCGGATGATTTCTTCTTTGTAACGTTCCAGTGTAAATATTGGCATTTATGAACAAATCACCATTTTGCAGAAAAAGGGTAAAGTGCTGAAAGAAAACAACCAGTAGTAATGGTTGCACAGAGTGACTTTTTCAAAACTCAGCTGAGTTTTAGTTACATTTTAAATAAAACAGCCTGTTTAAACAAGGCAAGAAGATGAAGTAGACCCAGCTCTGGAAGCACCAAAGATGTGGTGGCCTCCACAGGGCACAGCAACCGCACCGAGCATAGCCAAGGGGAAACCCCCTAAAAAGGGGAGATGGAGGCCAGCTCCCATCCAACACCAGCCCAAGGTCACTGGGTCCTGGGTGTCGAAAGCACGGACACAGCTGGTTACAGATGTGGGAAATGCGGGTGGGAGCTGCCAGGGGCAGCGGGTGTTTTGGGGTGGGAACCCAGCTTTGCCCCTCCTCGGCCTGGCACCAGAGGGGCGACGCCGGCCTCGGCCAGCGCTTGCTTTTAACCTGACAGGTTCACTTCCTCGCCGCCTCAAATAAAAGGTACCATTAAAAATGCCGGCTTCCTTG